AGTGATGAGCCAGAATAATGTCCACAACATTGGTTGTCAAGCCTGAGAGCTAAAAAGATAACAACTCTGTGTCAAGAGTGTAAGCATATGTAAAAATTTATCAAGCTGTCCACTTGAAATTAGCGTACTTTATTGTATGTATATCATCCCTCAAAAAACAAACAAAAAAACCCCACATTCAGTGTCATACATTTTCATAGACGGTGCTTTCAAAGAAACAAGAGAAAAAGAAATATTAGTAAGTCAGAAAAAAAACTAAGTCTCCCTTCCCGGATAACAACAGAGCCTGCTTTGAAGTCGGTGGCTGGAAGAAACACCAGCTGTGCCTTTGAAAACTTAAGACTTGGAACTTGTGGCTATTTGCTACTTCATTCCTGACTGTATTTCTGCATTTACATTGGATTTATGGCTGATAAGGATTGACTTACAACCACTCCAAAGCGGCCCAAGAAACAAAAACAATTTTTTTTTCTTTCTTCCAGTTTTTGCTATCTTCATTTCAGGCAGTGGGAAGAAATGGCTGTGTTTACAGAATGTTCTTGGGTTTTGAACATTTTTCCCCTAAATCTTCCCATTTCAAAACGATGCATCGGCCTAATAAATGCAGCAATCTGCGTAAATGTACAGACTGTTAAGTCTATTTTCAGAAAAATTTCCAACTCAAATTATGTTGTTGATTCCTCTTAAGCCTTCTTCCATGGTTTTATAATGAATTCCTACTGCTGACTTGGATCAGAGGTCAAGTATTGAGCTGGGGGTAGGAATGGAGAAGAGGAGGTGAGAGGGACAAACATGGATGTGGATGGAGCAGGACCACATAGTCCCAGAAAGATTAAGGAGGAGAAGTCTTGAAGACTTCATATGAGTTATCAGGTTATAAATTAAAATTATCTTCATAAGTTAAAGATAATCAGAATAAATAACCAATTTCACTTCATTTTTAATATTCATAAATGCTCAGAAATCCGAAGTTTTATAAGAATTTTATTAGGTTGCTAATGTGATGGTGAGTGTTTGGGTAAGTGTTAATGTATCCACATGCTAGATAAGAATTAGGACAAATTTTACATAAGTCAGGCTGTCAGAAAGAACACCAACGGCATCTGGCAATAGCACTGTTAATATGTTTCATCCAAAGCGAGGGAATACACCATTTCTCCAAAACTTAAATGTGGGGGGAGATGGATACATTGTTTGGAATCTGGTCTACTGGTAAGTAGAATATTTTAATAGTTTAAAATAATTATAAAATTAATTTATGCTTATCATAGAAAATTAGGATAAAATAGAATATGAAAAACATCATTGTAATACTACCAGCCAAAGATGCAACTACTAGCGAGGCATTTCCCCTCTTTGCTTATGCACATGTAGTTCACAAAATTGGGATCATATTATATAGCTTTATGTCTGTTTTTCACTAACATGAGAATTTTCTCATTTTCTTAAATAACCAATTAACATAATTTTTTGATTATAGTTTTCCACACAATTTTGTTAACCTGTATTATTGGCACTTAGGCTGTTTCCATCTTTTTGCCTTATAAACAATGCTTTAATGAATATCCTGGCTCTGCAACTTACTAG